CACTTAGTCCTCACCCCAATCCTAGGAGGGAAGAGTGGTTGGTGTATCCGTTTTCCCAACAAGGAGCTGAATTACAGAGGTCAAGCAATTTATGTAAAGTTACCCAAGCAGGAAATATCACAGCAGAACTTGAATCCAGGCACTCTGGCTATGGTCCAATGCTACCATGTTATAGAGCAGTTGCTTGAGGAAAATGCATCTATTTCTTTAAAAAAAAAAAAAGTTAAAGTAAGTCACAGGCATCGAGGCCCAACAGGGAGCCTCCTTGGGTCTTCTCTGTGAATCTGGCCTGGTGGCAGAGATTTGTTACAGGAACGCTCGCTGGGTGACCCTGGGGCTAGTCCTGGGCCTCTGGGAGACTCACCTCCAAGGGTAGGGAAGGGGATGAGCACCATTGGTTGCTATGTTTGCATGCACCAGTCTCAGATATTATGAGGTGAGAGGTGGGTGATTTAAGGACCTTTAGCTCCTAATACAGATGAGCAGTCAGAGGCCCAGGTCACAGAATGCAGGTGTTTGTCCTGGGACCCCAGGTCAGTGTTGCTTTTTACCTATAGTGTCAGCCTGGCTGAAGGCTGGCTGGAGAGGCATTCCGCTCAGGCCAAGTCTGGGTACTGAGAATCTCAGATCATTCTGTAAAGCTGCAGCTAAGGGGCTCAAGCTGGAATCTCCAAAGAGGCAGGAGTGCTTGCCCAGTTTAGTGCAGCCCCACCAGGGTCCTGCTGAGTCACGAGGAGGAGGAGCACTGCCTCCACCTTCCACGGAGCTCTACAGACCAGACGCCCCTGGCCCTTCATGTGTGGCCACACTGGACTCTCCAAGCATATTGGCTGGAGCTTCCCAGGGTCTGTCCTGAGGTGAGCAGCTGCCTTCTTTAGAATCCCCAGCGCTTCTCCACTTAGAGCTTCAAAGAGCTTCTCCCTGCCAAGGAAGTCCCTCAGGGGACATCTGGCAGCAGAGTCAATTCATTCTCCCACTGGAGTCCTTGGGAACTGAGCTGAGCTGGTTTCAGGCTCCTGAGGTGTGGCTTTCTGGTCCCTCAGCTGGCCACACTGCTATACTGCGCTCCTTTTTAAGGCTACACTCGCTGGTGTGCTTCTTGCTTCAGTGCCAAGTAATCTACCTGCCCTTCCAACAAAGGGTGAGGCGCCGTCAGTGTACATGATCTCTTACGAGCTGGGCATTTTTCTCAGATTCTGTTATCTTGGTGGTGGTGGTATGTGCCGTGGAGTTGGGTTCTGACTTAGGGAGACTCACTCCATATAGGGTTTCTGAGGCTGTACATCTTTACGGGAACTAAAAGCCTCATCTTTCTCCCACAGAACAGCTGGTAACTGACCTTGAGGTTAGCAGCCTGACTAGTAACCACTGCGCTGCCAGAGCTCTTTATTACCTATTTAATGTCTGATTAATTCTGAACAACAGATTAAAGCCCTTGACATAGCCACCTCCCTCAACCCCCAGCACTGCCCAGCTGACCAAGATGATCACTATCAGAATGTAAATGAAGATCCTAGAGCTCACTAAAACCAGAAGACCACAGAAGGGACCTCATTAGGGACTTCTCCCCCACAGCAAACAGGCTTAACATTTTCTTTACATTTTAAAGCAATTCATCCAGATTTGACCATTTTCAGTTACCATCCAACCTGGGGGTCCACTGTTAAAACAATTAAGAACAATGGTATCTGCAAGTCTTACTGTGGGAAGTTATGTTGTACCCACTAAGAAAACACAAATTCCTGTGAGCTGTGAGATGCCAATAGTTCATTATACTAGCCCTGCAGATTTCCAATTGGATGCTAACAATATTCCCATGGATGTTCTCACCTCCAGGAGTGCGTGATGTAGGCCTGTCTGGGCACTGTTGTTAGGGAGGGGAAGCTGATAAATGCACTACCCCCAGGCAGACTCATACATGGGATAGGACACGTTATGGATGTAGGTCACCTCTGTTGGGTGATGACAACAAAGCCTGGAGAAAACCAGGGGTTTCCAGGGGAAGAAGACCAGGTCCTATCGGTGGTTATCTGTGTAGGTGGCCACCTCCGTCTGCAGTGGTCTCTGGCTTCACCCCACCACGACAACACTTCAGGAGAGAATGAACTGCAGAGAGAGATGAAGCCTCATTAGCTGAGTCAGCAGACTCGGTGTTTTCCATTTGGAAAGACTAGGTGGAGTCTGGGTGAATCAACAAAGATGAGACATGCACAGACTCAGATCTTTAGATCAAGTATATGTTTTAATTTCTGCAAGGCCCCCCGCCCCAATCCCCTGCCCGCCCTTCCAAGTTGAAGGGAGATTCCATTGGAGTGTATACAAATTAGACATTGGCAATATGTACAAAAGTATTTTCTACAGTTCCCATTGCTATCAGCTATCATTTTTCATTTGCTGTAAACAGGACATTACAAAACAGACCAATAATGCATTTTCTATTAAGAAGCACAATACACAACATAATTTGATTTTATTTAAAAATAACTTTAAAATACAGAACAATCCACTTTAGGAAGAAAAGCTCTTTCTGCATTTTACTTCAGTAACCACACAAGAGGAATGCTGCAGCTGAGGGCTGCCCTTTTCCATCGTGAAACAGAGGAAGCATTGAGGGCCCACCTTTTCAGGTTAAAGTGATACCCACGGGGTACAGCTGCGATGGGCAAAGGTAGGCAGGACTCTAAATTCAGTTCTACACCTGAACCCCTGGAACCTGTGACTACAATGTGATAGCACTCCTGTGATTACGTGACCTTACGTGGCACACAGCTGACCCTAACACAAGGATTTTCTGGGTGAGCTTGATCTGATCACATGAACCCTTTAAACAAAAGCAGAGAAACTCAAAGTGTGAGAAAGAGGACTGGTCAGGCCACTGATGGTTTGATGGTGGAGGGGACCGTGCAATAAGGGAATGTGGGTAGCCTTAAGAACCTGAGATAGAGGCCCCCATTTCACAACCAGAAAGGAAAGGGGACCTCAGTCCTACAACCTCAAGAAACTGAATTCTGCCAACAACCTGAATAAGCTTGAAAACCAGATTCTTCCCTAGAACCTCCAGAAAGGAATGTTGTCCTGAAGACTCTTGGCTTCAGCCTGGTGAGACCCTGAGCAGAAAATCCAGCTGTAACTTTTCTTAGCCCAGATAGACTGGGCAGTTTCTGTTTGGGTTCTGAATGTGTTTTACCCCTCAGTGAGTTACTGCAATAGTCTCCTTTGCAGGCTACCTTTGAAAAACCTTATTATGAGTCACACATTATTTTCTACTTGGTTTCAAGTATTGTTTACTTAAATTCTGCTTTCTAACATCGTTTACCCTACCTACTTGGCAAACAATTGACCACTTAGCCCTGTTAATGTAACTTTCTCCCAATGAAGGTTTAATATAATGCATCCAAAGTCACTCCTCTGTAGCTGCTATTACTGTTAAGTGCCGTCCCAACTCATAGTGACTCTCTACGTAGCGTTTCTGACCCGTGCCTTATCCTATAGGGCCACAACAAAGCTTCCAACACAGGGCTCTTTCCCACTTCCCAAATACATTAGGCAGGGTCTGAGGTAGGATGGCACAGAGTTCTACATCAAACATCCAATAGGAATTTCTTCCGCATAACTGGATCAAACTGGCACTAAGGTGATTAAGTACACTTGGGGGAAAGATCAAACCAAAGATTAAAGAAAAAATTATACCAGTCTTTTCAGCTCAATTATTTCTGAAGGAACCACCCAAAGCCTTGCAACTCTGTCATTTACGTAGCACCCCACAGCCTCATCCCTGCCTGCTTTCCTCCTGTCACATCAGGCTTCACTGAGCCAGTGTGGGTCACAGCAGAAGCAGGAGGGACATGCCAGTGCTCAGAACAGTTCAGCTGTTGTGGTGGTATGTCCCTTACCCAAAACGCTTCAAAGTCTACAAAATGTCCCCAGGATGGTGATATCACTTTTGACATCTGTTCCTCAATCTCTCTCACAGACACACATCAACTATGTACAACAGACCTGGGTGGCCACACAACCCACTATGCCAATCCTGCCTGCTCCAGGGACCCACATCTGTGCTTGGGAGAAGCTCCCCAAACAGTCAAAGTGAAGGCAATGCAGAAGGAGCCATATTCAGTACTGGTGAATTAAAAAAATACATTTCATTTTTCTCTCTTATGGGATTCTAATAGTTAATCTCTAAGAACAATGCTTACAGAGGCACCAGAAGGTACCAAGCACCAAAGCAGGAACTGGAATAGGATTATTATTTTTTTTTTAAGAACCTAAACTTTTGATAGTACTTATTTAAGAGCACACATAAAGCATTAAGTCTTTAGAGACAGTGCAGGTATTTACAGTTAAGGCTGATTTATTCTTAACCTTGCCCGCTAGCCTGAAGTAATGCAGATGGGGTGGGGTGGGGGAGCTATATGATGGCACCTTTCTTGCCTCTCTAAACAGCCACGAAGCCATGAATGAGTTAAGAACCCCAGAGTCACTGCCTGGTACTCCTCCTGGCTACCACCATTATCAGTTTTGGGTGGTTTGCTTCCAGAGCACAGATGCACAAAACTCTAATCGGTATATAAATAGTTGGCCACCATTAACAGTTCTCCTTCACAGTTCTTTGCTTGGCAGCATAAATGCTAAAACCTGAAAAATGGGGGGAAAGAATCTGTATTCTAAGAAATACTGAGAGCTGGAGAGAAACAGTCATCTAAAATCATATGGCAAATTACACTTAGATCAATTTCATGATTTCTTGATTCAAGAAAATGAAATTTGTTTCCATAACTAGCTACCGTAAAATGTGTCACAAAAATATTTCTAGGAGACATATCGTATATTTTAAATACTTCTGCACACACATAAATGAGTGATTTACAACAAATGCCTATCCTTGAAATTCATTTCTAATGTTGAAGTAGAACAACAGACTGTCATTAAATTCTTTAAACTTTTAAGTCATCAGGTATTTACAAATAAGATATTATCAGTATATTAAAAAAAGGGCATTTTCAACTATATCTGCTGCTTTCACTGGGGCTCCGGTGATGAGAGTAACTTCGGTCACTTTCACTGTCAGAGCCATAAGATCTACAACAAAACAAAGACACAAAATCCTTTTAAATGTCAATCCTCTGAACACCTCTTAAGCTTCTTTTCGAATCCGAGTGACTTGAAAACATTACTGATGATAACAAAGTGGTGGGCACTGGGGAAATGACTGTGGTGACACTGTGGGCGTGTCAAAGCTGTTTCCAATGACCAACAGGAGGCGCATCAAGGTTAACATCAAATCAACATCACATCTTGGGAAGTAGTTTGAAATCCATTAATGCGTATGAGATAGAGTAAGTTTGCCTGCTCCCTAAAATAAATATCAGTACTTGATTAGACTGTCTGAGGAAGGAGGGCTCCTGGAAGGTGCATGGACAGAGCTTCATTACAGATAAAGAAAAGGGGGGCCCAGTGAAGTGTGGGCGTGTGGCCAGGAATGAACAGGGCCGGAAGGGCACTGACAGTCAAGAGAACCTGGCTTTGGTTACCGTTCAGTTATTCTGAAAAATCTACACTGAGTGCTGACCACTTTGCTAATGGCTGTGGACAAAAAATAATTCCCTGGAGCTCAGGGCTAGTCAAGAACCGTGGGCAAGACAACCAAGTCAGGGCCAATGAGAGCCCCCGGAGGAGGAAAGGCTGCCTCAGCACACAGGAGGGGCTGGACCCCAGGGTTGGCAGTCAGGGAAGGCTTCCCAAGGACAATGGGTTGCTGTGGAGACTTGCAAAGTGGGGACTGGCCATTTCAAAGGGCAGTAGGAGAGATGAAGTTATCCAGGATGAAGATACCAGCACATCAAAGGAGAGAAGCTAGAATGAGCCCAAGTTGCAGTTGGTAATTGGAGGGGTCCTGCATGTAACGCTAAGGAGATTGGTTGTGAGCATTTCACAAGAATCACTATCACTATAATGAAAGGGGAAGGGGACAAGACCTGATGCCACTAGGAAAAATGACATTAAAACGTCACAATACTTTTGCAGTACTAGCCAAATACACACACACACACACACACACACACACACACACATACACAAAACAGTTGAAAAGATAAATCTCAATCCTGCTTCTGAGGCTAATGATTATGACATTTTGTGAATTTTTTTTTTTAATTAGAAAAATGGACAAAATTAGCTTTGCCATTTCTAGCAGCAACCAGTTCTATTTAAGGAGGTGGTCCAAGGCTTAGCGGCCTTCTCTCTTTATTCCTTCTAAAAGAAATGTTTGTCTAAGGATTGTTGTTGTTAAGTGCCATCAAGCTGGTTCCAACTCATAGCAACACTGTATAGAGTTTCTGAGTGGTTGGGGGGTTTGAACAGCAAACGAGTTTAGCAGTCCTGTGCTTATCCTACAATGCCACAACAGGACTCCCTTGTTTAAGGATGTTGTTGTTTTAAGTGCCACTGAGTCGATTCCAACTTATAGCGATTCTCTTTAGGGTTTCTGAGGAGTGGCTAATGAGTTTGAACCGCTGACCTTGCAGTTAGCAGTTCAACATTTATTCTACATCATCACACCAGGATGCCTGTCTAAGGACAGGTGAACATTAAAAGATACATTTTAGATTCAAACATTAACAATAAACAACAAACATTACGTGGCAACTGTTAGTACAAAGGGCACTCTTAGTGGCTGCCTATGGGTTGTTAAAATTTGAGAAAGAAGTATTTTGGTCTCAGAAGACTATGTACTTTCCCTTCCACTAGCAGCCCATCATCTCCCCCAACAATACCCACAGTTCTGTGCTGCACTCTTAAGAGACCCACCTGGACCTCCTTTTGTAACTTCTGCCTCGATGGTAACTGTCACTCCTCTGGCTTCGACTTCGACTCCGACTCCTGCTATAGTAGCTATCGTAAGTGTAGGACCTGCTTTAACAGCAAAAACATACACTAATTTTCCCATTCAAATACTTGCATATTCCCATTTCTTTGGGGGATCTTAAGAGTGTTCTAGCTTACGACACAGGTACTATATGGCAGTGTGAGGGCATATTTGCATACTAGAAACATTTAACAACTGTCCCAAATCAAACACCATACTAAACATGAAAATGTTCACCTCTTTTCTGCATTGAAAAGTATCACCATGAACACTGAAGTAGTCTGAATGAGGTTGGTGGATCTTATTAAGTAATAAACTACTTGCCATTACAACTTAATATCAATTTTCACTTTTAACAATGGAGCCAACAGATTAAAATTGTCAAAGGGTATGATTTCATGAAACTAAGAGATCTGTTTAAGTAATTATAGATTGCTGTAATTAAACAAGAATAATCTGTTTAATAAAATACAACTCTTTTAGTGGTTTATATAATAAGCCTTTCAGTATTACCCCCAAGAGCTGACTCCCCGACTCCTGTGCATACCTGGACCGACTGTGGGGGTCGTATGAGCTGCTCCTGGACCTGCTCCTGCTGGACGTCCTAGGAGCAATCACACAAATGACCATCATCTTGTGGACCATGGAGGGACAGGCAAGAAAAAATCTACACATCTATTTGCCCATCACAGTGAAAACACTGAAATCTGCCACCTAGATTTTGCTTTCCTATAAAAAATGTACTGGATTTTATTTACTGGACTTCATAAGAAAGATGAAGTTTTCTGAAATTCTTCAATGAGGTACACATAAAACCTCTGAGGAGGCTCTGCCCTGGGTGGGAGGTCTGGATGGTGGTAGGGGTGCGGGGAGGACATTTGTAAGCAAACTGAGGCTGCAGCAGTGGACCACACCTCAGAGCCCAAAGAAGCCGGGACAACGAGCCCTAGCTCACCCTAATATATGTCTTCCTTTTGGTCCCTTCTCTAAGATTTTATCAGTGCTATTTTGGTAGCAATAGTGTTTTCTTCACATTGAGCTCAAATCTCTTCCCCTGAAGTCCCTATTCCCATATCCTCAATCTACTCTCTGGGTCACATAGAGTAAGACTTCTTAGTCCCTTTCAGATCTTCGGATACGGTGATCTTGGCCCTCTCTTCCTCTAATGTTCTTCCATAATAACAAACAACAAACTCTCCCTGGGATATGTGAACTTAGATCAAGGATGATGTAAGTGGGGAGGTGGAGGGAGAGGCCAGGGGCTTCTTTTAAATACAACACGTCTATGGCTTCTCTTGCTCACTCCAATAGAGTCCTCTCTTGGAAAAAGCCAGAAGGATGCTACAGCTCTTAGTAAGAACTCGATGAGAAAGTAGGCCAGTGTGGTGCACAGCAATGGCAGGGCTCTCTGCTACAGCTCCTTCATTCTGCCAGGGCAGCCTACAGCAGCAAACACCGCAGAGCAGGGGCCATAGGCTCACCGATGACTTTTGTAGCTGCGGTAGGAACTGCTCCGGCTCCTTGTGCGACCTCTGCTATACCATCCTCTGCTCCGACTTCTTGAGTAGCTTCTTGATCTATAATTTGTGAACCAGAAAGAAGAATGTATTAACACACCAAACTGTTAAAATTACTTACTGGTTGAGGAGGAGAGGAAAACACAATAAGAGGTAAATTCTCATGAACTCCCCACAGTGGGTCTGACAGCGACAGGGAATGATGTAATCCAAAACATCCAGGACTGAAACAGAACAGAATGAAATACAGACAAACCAGGAAAGGCTGGTACAGGTATATTCCCAGGAGCACTGACTGAAAGGAAAACTATAGTCACAGATTCTTACTAAAGTTAAAGTTCAAATTCATCAGGGATGTAAGTAATCAAGAGAGTGAAGTAAAACCATAAAATATTTGTCAGGAAAAAAAGACGACTAGCTATTAACTTTATTTATATTCCCATCACAAATTTTTTAGTTTTTAATTCTCATTCTCTGCACTATCCAGTCTACACTGATGACAAAAGTTAGAAGCAACCTGAATCACTCCCTATTACATTCTTATCCTCTGAATAAAAATCAACCAGTTTTCTACAAGAACAAACAAATCGCTTCCCTAGAAAACATCAAGGCAAGTGGCCAGGTCCTCTCAACGCAGACCCCCTTCCAAGACTAAGACTCAACGGAAATGCACGCTCTGATTGGTGACCACACACATCACCGATGGGGGGAAGTGGGGTAAAAGCAGCAATGAAGCAGCAAGCTAAGCCCTACAATGTTCAGTGGACTTCTGTGGACCCAGTTGGGGACCTGGTTGGCAAGCAGTGTGAAGAGGCCTGGGGACTCTTGGGCCCAGAGTCAGTGGTGTGGCCATGGAGGACTCGAGAGAGGAGAGTGGAGCTACCGGCTGATGGGAAGAGAGGACATATGCACAGGAGAGCTCACACTTGCAGATGATACCCATGTGACCTGGACCGGATGACTGGATGATCGGAGCTCAACCAGGAGAGGAAAGAAGAGGGGGAAAAAAAAAAAAAGAGTGAGCTGATACAGTCTGATGAACTTGACCTATACCTATGGAGCAGCGACTCAAAAGAGGGAACAAATCCTCACAGCAAGAAACATTCACACACACAGAGTGGACAGAGAAGGGCAGCTTGGACATTGGATACTCAAATAGGGAGGGGGGGACTACAAAGGCAAGAAGTGACTGGCTTACAAGCTTTCAAGAGGGAACCTGGTGCTAGGGAGCATGGCGGAAGGCAGAATCTCCAGTAGGTAGTATTCAGTCTGTCTGGGTGGAGCTGATGAAAGGAGATACAGTTGGGTAACTCGTAATACTGTAGTGAATAATGCTTATCAGGACAGACTATGAGGGTTGGAAATGCAAAGGTTGAAGTTCTGTAACAAGGAAGGGAATGATTAATTCTCCAGGATAGTAGCGGAGGCCTCTGGGACCATCAACGGAGAAGAGCCGAGAGCAGGACCCTACCCAGAGAAACAGAGATGCCTGAGATGGAGGCAGAGATGATGACGTGGAGTGATGAAGCGACTGGGGACTTTGGACCCAGAGAGGGAAAGGGACTGTGGGCCGAAAACTGGGGGGAGGAGGGGGAAGTGTAGGGGGTGGGTTTCTGGGATATACCCTTTGGGTGGTTGATGATGCATGGAGGGGATTGGAACCATGGCAGTGAGATGATGTAAGACGGAATGAATGTAAAACTAAAGTTCTCCCATGTAAACTATCATATAATTCACAATAAAACATTAAAAAAAAAAAAAAATCAACCAGTTTTATGACCTCCCTTCTCTGGCCTCACTTTTGGGTATGAGTAAAATGGAGAATTAGGGAAATTTGCTCTAAGTCCTTTATATTCTGAAATTCAGGATTCACTTGTAACGTGCATCACTGACAAGCATGAGAGCGGTCTCTCAGCTTTAAACAGGCAGCCCTCGCCACCTACTGGCAGTTCATTTCTACTACCAGAGAGTTCTAATTGATAGCTGTTAACAGTTTTTACTGAGCTCAAATTTCTTACCCTGCAATCCTACTCCCATATCCTCAATCTATTTTCTGGGTCATGTAGAATAAGACTTCTTATTCCCTTTCATGTATATGGATATAGTGATCTTGTCCCTCTCTTCCGCCAGTGGTCTTCCATAATAAACAATAAACTCTCCTTGGGAGCCAGAAGGGAAAGAGAATACTGCTTACCGGTAAGAAGACGTGGAAGTTCGTGATCGACTTCTTGAGTGACTGTAGGAGACAGACCTTGTTCTGTGTCTTGATTTGGTTTCAGATTTACTTCTCGATCTACTGAGACTCCTGGACTGGCTATCACCATCCCGACTAGGCGTCTGCTCATCACTTGAACTCTCCCGGTTTCTTGGCCTCTGGTTTAAGCGTGCTGTCTTTCTTACTTCATCAAAGAGAGATCCAGGCCGGACTTTATTTTTGCTCTTAATTTCTATCCTCAAGCCCTGTGGTTTTGTCTCCGGCACAGTAGTCAATGCCTTAACTTCCACAGCACTGGATGAGGTGACAGTCGATGCTGCCAGGTTCCCCACACCTTGCAAAGGCTTCCATTTGTTATCCACGAGGCCAACCTGGCTCTTCTCAGCCACCTCCATCTTCATAGTAGTTTCTACAGCACTGCTGTCCTGTGCTCCCACTTCACCTAGCACTTTGCTTTCAGACACGCTGCTTTCCGGCTTTCTGATCTCTGCTTCAGGAAGCTCTGTGTGCACTTGCTGCTTTAGGACACCACTTACATCTGGAGCATCAAGCCTAGCATTTCCTATACAAGTCTCCTCTCCCTTTGCTGGGGAAGTCCTATCAGGAGTGCAAATCTCCATGTTATCATCTGTTTGAAGTACGTCCCCCATTCCACTTGGGACATTCTCTTCAACGTGATGGATGTTTTGGGGAGAACGGGCTACATTTTCCTCAGTATTTAACACTGTGGGAGAAATGCTGAGTTTACTATCATCTTTAGTATGTGGTTCCAGATCTGAGGAAATATTCACTGTATTATGTTTACCAGAAACCTTGCTATCTTCACAAGACTTCTCACTTTTCTGAATATTCTCTTTCACAGTTTCACCATTTTCAGCAGCTTGCCTTTTCTCTTTGGACTCCGGAGTAACTTGCTTTTCACTGATTTCCTCTTCCTCCTCTTCACCAAATTCTAGTGGAGGCTGCCAGTGAAATGCTTGTTTTCGCTTCGGAGCCTTGTGCTTCTTGTTTTTTTTCCCTTTCAATTTCTCCTTCATTTTTTTGGTGTGTTCCCTTTTAAGATTTTCCTTGGATCTGTGCGTGCGCTTCCCTGACTTTGCTCTATTGCTTTCTGGATTGGAATAGGAACCGCCAGAATCAGAAGTTGATGACCGCTGTTTGCGAGACTTCCAAACACCACTGCCATCAGGTAGTGAAGTGCTAGCTAAAGACTTTGTTGTGGCTTTAGCTTTGATATGAATGTCACCAGACTCTGATTCAGAATCGGACGTAGCCTCACCTTCTTCCTTATCCGAAGATGGCCGAGAATCCATTTTACTGTTTTTAGTTATATCTCGTTCTGAATTTGACTCAGAGTCCCATTTGCTCCCTGAATAATTCTTTCTTTTAGGTTTATTGCTATTTCTAAAGTGACCAGAAAGATTCTCTCTTAAAGTTTTTTTTTTAGAACGAGGGCATTTCCGTTCAGGTTTAGATTTCTCTTCATCTTTCTTTTTCTCTTGTTTATTATTAGTTCCTTCCATCTGGGGCTGCTTCTCTTTTTCCTGAACACTTGACTGTTCACTGTCTGAAGAATAACCTACAGATGACCTGCTTTCGCTATACTTTCTCTGATAGGAAGACTTGTCTCGGCCTTTGACATATTTTTTGCGAAGTGTCTTCTTCTTGTCAGAGCTGCTGCTGTGCCTTTTATCTAAGGCACTGGTTTTTTTCCTGCTGGATCTAACTTTCTTCTTGGCTGGTCTTCTATCATCGCTGCTAACAGAAGAGTAGGAAGATGACCTGCTATACCGTGACTGATCACTGTATTTACTTCGTGAATGAGATCTAGATGATGGAGTCCTAGATCTTGAGTGTGAGCTAGCTAGACTACGTGACCTTGTGTAAGATCTGGAATAAGATCGACTCCTTGAAGATCTGCTCCTTGACCTTGGTGAACTTTCTGAACTTCTATCACTGTATTTTGAATAAGCACTGTGATCGCTTTCCAAATGTTTTCCTCTTTTATGGTATGATGATGAACTACCAGTTTCTTTAACATTTGCTAAGTTGTAAGTACTTTGGGTGGGCAGCAAATGAGTTGTTTTAGCTTTCATCTCCTGAATTCGCTCATAAGAGGGCTTCCAAGGCTTTTGCCCAGGCTTCCATCTTGAAGGGGGGGGACTGTCACTCAAGGGTATCACAGGAATATTTTCTGCCACCACTGGTTGAATTACTATATTTTCATTTTGTGGCACTGTTACTCGCAATGGTTCTGTTTTAACTGGTTTATTTTCACTTAACTGAGAAGCTGTTCTTGGTGATTTTGATGCTGTCCTTTGGTGCCCTGACTTTGAACTAGATTTGGACTTTGATCTACTACGAGAATGTGATGAAGATCTTGATGCAGTCCTTGATCTTGAGCTTCCTCTAGAATAAGACCGTGAACGAGATTTTGATCTGTATGAACCTCTGCTGGAACGGGTTGAAGAGCTCTGGTCATCTCTATCTGATTTAGACCAGTCCTTCTTTGCAGAGTGATGAGATGATGATGAAGATGAGCGCGATCTCCTTTCTCTGTCACAAGATTTCATTCGTCGGGTGGAAGATTTTGAGGAGTCTACATCAGATGGTACAACAACCCGTCTCTTCTTAGTCTGTCTGTGTCGTCTGCAATGTTTCTGCTTCTTAGCTTTCTTTCTATGCTTCACCTTTTTCTCTTTTCTTTGTTTTTTGTGGTGGCTATCAGAGTGTCTTGCTGTACTAAGATCTGAATGATATCCATTATAGGACCATGATCTGGATCTCTGTGACAAGCTTTTTTCATCCCACCGGCTTGAACAGGGGTCACTTAGCCTATAAAAAAAAGACATAATATGCATGCAATTATTTGTAAGCACTTAAAGTCATATGTTGTTAATGCAAAAGCAACGACAAAATCTTGGTAATAACAAAGTGCTGCCTTAGTAACACAGTGGTTAGGCAATGGGCTGCTAACTGCAAGGTCAGCAGTTTGAATCTACCAACTTGCTCCAGGGGAGAAAGAGGATGCTTTCTGCTCCCATAAAGATTTATAGCCTCAGAAACCCTCTACAAGATCACTATGAGTCAGAATGGACTTAACTGCACACCATCAACAACAGCAACACAGTAAGCACATGTAAGAAACATGAGTCAACGAGTGAAGGATTTTACCATGACCTTACACATTTCACACCAGATCCACACTATTAACTACTAACAGACGCATTTAGAAGAAAAGGTTTCTCAAAATCCAGTAAAGAGCACCAATTTGACAGAGAGATGTTTTTGAAAGCAGCCCAGCTAATCACAAGACCACTGCTCACACCCTGGGCTCCTGGCTGGAGTGTGCTCATAAGCCTCTGCATCCAGGAGCAAGTTTTGAGGGAGAGTCAAACTAAGTTCCCAAACAATTGTTGCAGATCAGGACAGCTACCAGAACTTCAGGGAATGTCTCTTTCTTAAGGGGCTAGCATGACAACTATTTTAATCTCAGCCTCACAGAAGCAATCAAAGCTTTACCTCCAGGTTTCATTAACCTCCTTTCTACAGAAACTGAAGAAAAGGTACACGAAAACAAATGTCGGCTTTGCAATTTCTCACCATTATGTCGAAGCCTGAATTTGTTTCCATGCAGCAGGATCCACACCTCTGCCTCCCTCTTCCAATTTCAAACCATTTTACAAAACACCAACAAGGAAAACCAGAATTCTACTGGGAGGAATCATACAGGGCCCCAGTGATCTGGTGAGTGGTTCTGAGGCAGTGCTCATTCCTAACACAGACATTCCAGTACAGGTAACCAATGGGAGTAGGAGGTGGATACAGCTCTGAACAGGTAACAGTTCTCAGAGTCAGAAAGTAATGGACACACTTGAGTATAGTTTCTCATATCTATCAATTAATTCATCAGTGACTAGAGACCTGGCGAGGAAAGAATTTCCCGTATCATTTACAAATTCTAGTTACTTATAAAACTGAACAGGAAATTTTTAAGAGTATCACAGCAGGCTTATATTTTGTGAGGGAGAAAAACGTTACGGTTTTCATTCTCCAAAAGTTCTCCAAAACCTGGTTGAGTATTCTTAATGAACAATATGCTCACCCATTTATTCTGAAATGGTTACCCTTTGGCGACAGTCAATCTCTTATGAAAGGCCTAAAAGTCAGTCTCTATCACCTCAACACCTAAAATACAGTAGATATGGGACTGCGCTCCTACTCAAAGCTCTTACTTATCTCCTTTACTCCATTTCTCCCCACTCGGAGGTCTGTACGCTCGTAACCTCTGCATTTCCTCTTTCCAGTGAGGGGGCGTTTCACTGCTGTCATCATCATCCGATTCAGAACAGGATCTTGATCGTGGAGGGGTGTGGTAGCGCTTAAAAAAACACACAGAATAACTATTTAAGAAGGTGCCTCTCTATTACAGAGTCTGCCATAAGACAGTTAGGTATAAGACCTAATATCTCAGACACCATTAAAGGTCATGAGTCAAGTCCCAAAGGATGGCATGAAGTTCTTTCACACATTAGGGACAAAACCAAATAGAAAAGGTGGAGACTCACCTGTACTTCCAGGTGAAACCTCCCTCTTCAAAGTCCAAATTCATTAGCCTAGATGATTCGGCATACTAAGATTCCTTAGCACACTGACTGTTCACATCACATGTTCATACCTAATTACACCCACTCAAAACCAGCCCTAAACAATAATAGTATCTTTTCATAACTTGAAAACACAACTAGTTCCTGAAATTGAGTTTGTTGTTGTTGTTGTTAAGTGCCATCGAGTCGGGTCCGACCCATAGCGACCCTGTACAGGGTTTCCTAGGGTGTAAATCTTTACGGGAGTAGAAAGCCTCATCTTTCTCCCGCGGAGCGGCTGGTAGTTTCGAACCGCTGACCTTAAGGTTCGCAGCCCGATTCATAACCACTACGCTACCAGAGCTCCTTGAAATTGAGTTTAGATTCTACTTAAAGTGAGGCTTTTTGCCTGTATGAAAACAAAACGTTACTGCTTAGGTAAACAATTTGAAAAATAAAAGAAGTCTTAACACACATACAATTGTGCCCCTTCCTTTAATCTTCCGTCCAGACTTTGATACAGATGGTTTCTGATCACTTACAATGGGTGTCACATCAGGAATCTTCCTAGAAAAGAAGATTGTGATGAAATTTAAAAATAAGCAAAACTTAGGTAGTTTTTTCAATATTTAAATACTAAATTTATATCTCTATATAATACAAAACACATCATTTATCCAATACTTTTGTAGTGTGGTAATTTTGTTAAGCAAACTATTAGAAGCCAAAAGGCAAAAGAGAAAAACAAAACAGCAACTTCACTGGGTAGAAATACACGAATACACGATACTAGTATCTTGTCTGTTTTAGAGGCCTCTTGCCCAACAGTGACGTTCTAAGAGAATACCGAGGTATTTCTGACTCTGATGACCAGGCTATTTTTTTTACAGTCTGTCTCCCCATGCTACTCTAAACTGCCACTCCTCCCTCTTTACATGCTTTACTTTAAAGAGTATAACTTCTGTAATAGCTACAACCCTCTATGCTTGATAGGTTCTTTCATACTCTAATTTGTTTGTAGCTGTGATTATTAATATAATCACTATCTTTTACTGAGCACTTGGTATGTACTAGGTATTAATATACAAAAGGTATTAATACACTAATATTACATTAGCTCATGTAATCCTCACACAATACTAGGAGATAGACACTATCACCATCTCCATTGAAAGATAAGTAAATTTTAAGATTAGAGGTTAAAGCCCTTGTCCAAGATCACAGAAAAAAATTAAATTTGACTAAGGAGCTCTGGTAGCGTAGTGGTTACAAATTGGAATGCAAACTGCAAGGTCAGCAGTTCAAAACTACCAGCTGATCCATGGAGAAAGATGAGGCTTTCTGCTCCCGTAAAGATTTACAGCCTTGGAAACCCTGTTCAGGGTTTCTATGAGTCAGAACCAACTTCACGGCACTTAGCAACAACAACATTTGTTATCTAGGCTTTTCTAAGGTTCCAGGAATCTGGCCGTTACTTCATAGGATGCTACTATCAACTTTTAGCTTACAAGAGAAGTCAGCAGAGAGGAGGGACCTGATTACCAACAAGAAAGAAGAGTGTGGTCTTTAGACTCCAGGCCCCTATGCTGAGAACCTCCTAGACAAAGACTGATGCCAAGACAAATGAAAATCTCGAAGGAACACCAGAACAGGTGATACAAGGAGGCAAAGCCCTTTCTCTAGAGCTGAGAGGAAGAGAAAGCCTTTCTTTAGAGCCAGCACTTCGAACTACTAGCTTTCTAAACAGTGAGAATATAAATTTGTTTGCTCTTTGTTATAGTCACACTAGATAACTAAGACAAGGTCAGAGGCTGGGCTTAACGAGGCAGCTATTACAAGTTGTAGAACACAGTTGAATATTCTGAAAAGAAACCCCTGTGTCATTTGTGTAGCTCTCTCAATTTAGCACTGAAGCGTTTGCAGTGTTTCCACTCAGCATGGAAGTCCTCACCCAATAGGTTTTATCTCATGATTTCTGAGGAATGCTGCTCTTCCTCCTTCACACAACACTGAATGTCTACTCTGCAGAGCTGACAGAGTATCTGCCCACCTCCCTGGTTTGTCCTGAACACATGCTCACTCTGACCTGATGAGTTTGGGTAGTGGCAAAGGCAGTTTGTTGCTTTTTAATTTTTTTACAGAAACGAATTATCATTTGCTCAGCAATACATCACTGTCATCCACTGTCTGATAATATAATTCTACAGACCATCTTGGATGCCCCATTACCCATAGCAAGCATAGGATATTAATACATGAAGAGGTTGTAAAGTTTGAGAAAAATGTATAACACGTGTGTTACCTGTGTAAAAATATGGCCATTTAAAAATTATGAACATGGACTTGCCATAATTTGTTCATCCATTCTCTGATGGATGAGTTCTAGTTTTGAGTATTTATTCCATTCCAAGCTATTCAATAAGCATCTCTAATAAGTTTGCTTCTCAGAAGTAGAAATAATGGGCAAAACAACAGGTATATTTAAAATGTTGATGTTCTCATATTACTGTTCCCAGAAATATATAGTAATTTTTACTCTGTCTAGCAATATAGGGGAGAACCTTTTATTTCTCATCTAAAATTTCTGCCAGTGAAGAGGTAAAAGGCACTTCATTGCTTTCATTTGCATTTTCTTGATTGCTAGTCAGCTTGAAAGGAGCCCTAGTAAAGCTGTGGGTTAGGAGTTGGGGTGCTAACCACAAGGTCAGCAGTTTGAATCCATCAGCTGCTCCGTGGGAGAAAGATGAGGCTTCCTGCTCTGGTGAAGATTTACAGCCTCAGAAACCCTATACAGGGCTGCTAGGCTCAGAACCGACTCCACAGCACACCACCACCACCTTAAACTTGAGCAACTTTTCACCTTTTTATTTGCCATTTGTATTTCTTCTTCTATTAAGTTGCCTCCTAATATTCTTTGCCCATTTTTCTATTGGATTGACTTCTTAATGATCTATAAGAACTTGTTGTATATGTGTTGCAGTTATTTTTGTTCTAGTCCTTTCATTTGTATTTGACTTTATCAAATCTTTTATCCTAAAATTTTAAAACCTTTTTTATGTTATCTATACAGTTTTTCTTAATGCTGTATAGTTTCCTTCCTCCTTTTATTCTATAGTATTTCAGAGTATTTGTTGCTAATGTGAATGGGATGTTTTCTTTTTCATCTCAGCAACTCATAGCTATATTTAGCTATCTTGTTTCAAGACTGCTAGGTTTCCAGACATACAATCATGTCTTCTCCAAACAAAGATCATTTTATCCCTTTCTAATACTTCTTTTTTCTTTTATACTACCATTTTCTGAGCCCTGGTATGCCACTGTAGGATCAGCACTGGACTGGTAACTGCAAGGTCAGCAATTCAAACCCACCAGCTGCTCTCAGAAACCCTATACAAGGTTACTACGAGTCAGAACCAACTTAACAGCATAGCATCACCACCATCACCACCACAGCTAAGAGCTAGAGTTTCTGCCAAAGGAATGAAGTTGCCCTTATGAGTGAAAATCATGTCCTGTTTGGAGTCTGAGTCCTTGTTGCAAGGTGCCATGTCTCTCTGTCTGACACCCCTTCACGACAGAAGCCATGGGAATCAATCGAAGGACCGCTCAGTCAAGAATGAAAGACTAGTTCTTTCCCAATAAGATCTCAAGCTCTTTAAAGCTGGGGCTTGTTGTTACTGTTAAGTGCCTTGTAGGAGCGTTTAACAATAGGGTTTCCAAGGAGCGGCTGATGAGTTTGAACCACCGAGCTTGCAGTCCAGCACATTAACCCACAGGGCCACAAGTTGGGGATGATGTCCCTTTATTTTCTATCCCTCACAGAACACCTAGCAATGAACTGGCAACATAATAAATACATGCTGAACTGCAAATAAAAAAAAACACCCTACCTTCTAAAAGCCAAATAGATTTAATCAAGGATAAAGGATCCCACTAAACTTTACTCACAGCCAGAATTTTTAATAATGTAAATATAAGAACAGCTATTTCTAAGAAAACATAACACTTTGTAAAGCTTCTTAAAATGAAACAGGATCAGGCTTTTAAAACACTTAATAAATTAGATGATAACCTTATGTCGAGACCTGGTTGCAAACTTCTCAACTTTCATTTCAAAATAACTCTTCATAGAGAATTTATCAATTACACCAGCCACATTATAGTATTTCCAGTCATACAACAAACAGCTCCCTTAATAATTGTAAGCTTTGGTCTAGTTCACAAAATACATTAAATTTAATTTTTTGAGGCCAAGTCTAAAGTCATATATTAGCTTTTCCAATACAGAGAATTTATCATTGGGCAAGTTAAAAACAGTAACGTATTTCTGATACTAAATCATATCCTCAATCACCATGCAATTCATTTTGCATTGTTCAAGTTTGAACACATTTTATCATTTGATTTCATCCAAAGAGTTCAACTAATGCTCTGTTCTGATAACCACACCCCTTTAATGAAAGAACAGAGTAATAAGATTAATAATGGAATCTTCCCAGACCTCCAATGGAAACTTCTCCCTTGACCAATCTGTCCACTCCCCTTTTCCCTACTCTAAAACCCCAAACTCGTTGCCCTCGAGTTGATCCCAACTCATTGTGACCCTACAAAGAGGAGTAGGACTGCCTCACAGGATTTTGAAAGCCGCAAATGTTTATGGAAAGATATATTTCTCCCGCAGAGCGGCTCGTAGAGTCTACACTGCCAACCTTCCAGTCAGCACTTGGCTGCTCCTTTGCTCCATACAAGTGGAATGTCAATCCTGAAAGACAGTATCCATGTCATTGGTTCTGGTATCTCCCCGACTATCTTTCAAAGTGCTCTGCACATGAGTTGTATAAATAAATGCATGTGAGTCTGCAATGAGCTGAAGGAATCGCCTATCAGAGAAAGATGGAAACACAAAGGTTGCTCATCCTACTTACGGTTCAGGTTCCACAGGGACAACAGGCATATCTCTTCTTAGTAAGAATCGGTTCTCAGGCACTGGAGGAATCTCTTCTGGGCGGACCACAGGCTTTTCCCTTTTAGCATTTGAGTCCACTGATTTTTTCTCATTGGCATCACTCCTCTCAGAGTGACTTAGAGAGAACAAATCAAGTCACCAATTTAGATATGTAACGTTTACATTTTACAACAAAAACAGCATATAAAATTAGATATTGAAATTACAGCAAAAGTATTTAATTGCTTATTGTCTTACTCAAAAGGTTTGTAAATCAATTTTCTCAGAGAATATATTAACCCAGCGAAAATTTTCAAATGATCAAATTGTACTAATTATTTTTCTTTTAAAAGTTTCAGGGATTCTTTTTACCAAGAAACATACAAATCTTTGACAATAAATATCTGTGCTTGGAATGCAAGGTCAATTTAAACCACAAGGTCAGCAGTTCAAGCCCACCAGCAGCTCCTCGAAAACCCTATACAGGGTCGCTAGGAGTCGGAACTGACTGGAAGGCACTTAACGACAACCCCTAAATTTGCTAGTTTCAATTTAAAGTTCCAAAACTGCTATGCCGATTTAACAAAATAGGTAGTACAATTGTTGTTGTTGTCAAGTGCCACTGAGTCGATTCCAACCCATAGCGACCCTGTATAGAGTTTCCAAGGAGCAGCTGGTGAGCTTGAACCGCCGATCTTGCAGTTCAAACGGCTTTGTGGTCTGGCGCATTAAACCACAGCGCCACACGGTAGTAAAATTAAGTTTGAAGAAATACAGACTTTTCCCATTTCACGCTAAGGTTTTGATTTGGTTTGCTTTTTAAGTCAGACTACCCTGGTGTTTCACTCACCCTCCTTTTGGGCTCACTGTATTCTTGTTCCTTGACTCTTCAGAACCACTTGCTTCCTTCCGTCTCTTTTTAGAATGTTTAACTTTTGGCCTCCTCTTATGTTTTCTCCTCCTGCTTCTCTCATGTTCAATTTCACTTTCTGAAGATGATTCTGAAGAGGAAGAAGAACTGGAGGAGGAATCCAAGTCTTCTGAGTGAGTTGGTTTCTTCCTTTTTTTCTCAAGAACTTTTAAGAAAAGTGAACAAAAATATTGGTAATGAATTTCAGTGCTGACCATTCACAGTAAAACATGTACTTACTATGCATCATGAAACATGCTTTTTGTTGTTGTTGTTAAGTGCCATCGAGCCAATTCTGACTTAAAGCGACCTTGTATAGGATTTCCACAGAGCAACTGGTAGGTTTGAGCCATTGACCTTGTGGTTACCAGTTCAGTGCTTACTCTACAGTGCCACACCAGAACGTCTTTACATACAGAAAACTAAACATAAAACTGAAATAAACTTTCTTTCAAGCTGATAAAACAATTTGCTGGTAAGTCTTGACAGTAACAAACCTTTGCCCTCATAAGGCCTGTATCCTAGATGGGTCAATTAGAAAATAAAAAAGTAATCATGTAATATGACAAATAGTAAGCGCTAAGACAGAAAACCAAAGTAAATAAGGTAAAGAGAAAAGATCATTGAGGGTCGGGGAATGTGGAGTTTATATTAATCTGAACAGAGACCAAAATGAAGCAAGGGAAGGAGTCATGTAGGTATCTCATTAGAGAGTGTTCCAGACAGAGGGAATAGCCAGAACAAAGGCCCAAAGCTCCTGCCAGGACTGAGAAAAAGTAAACACGGATAGAAGGTGATGCTGAGGGTCTTAAGAGACAGCTGCCTAGGTTAAGGGCTGACTTCAGCTTTGGATGATTGAAAAAGGAACTCTAGGGTATAAGTAAAGAGACCAGTTAGGAGGCTACTGCTGCTAAGAAAAGATTGTAGGAGAGCAAGAACAGAAGCAAGGTGAAAAGTTACGAGACTATTGTAATAACACAGTGTGATGGCTAAGGTTGTGTGTCAACTTGGCTGAGCCATGAATCTCAGTAGTTTCGAAATTATGTAAACATCCCCCATGATGTGACTAGTCAATTCATTGTAAGGGGAGTTTCCTCGGGGGTGTGACCTGCATATATATATGTGTATGTTATTGTTAAGTGCCATCCAGTCGATTCCGACTTATAGAGTCCCTATATACACTATGTTGTTGTTGTTAGTACTGTTGAAGTGATTCTGACCCCTACTGACCCTGTATATATGTGTCCATAT